GAGCATAAAATACAATGACAGAAATAAGTTCAAACACATTAATAGCCACAAAAAATGTAACTGGATTAAATTCACAAGTTTTGAAAAAAGAGATTCCCAGATTCCAGTTTTTTAAAGGTAGCTATAGTCCATTCACAAAAAATACACCTAAAACATAGTGGTGCAGAAATAATAGAAGAGAATCACCAAAAAGTCTGTATGAGGCAAATACTAACTAAAAGAAATTTGGCATGGATGATAAAAGCAGACAAAGTAGGCTTAACAGGAAAAAGCAAGACATTAGAATAAAGAGGTCATTATGAAAAGATAAAGGGAACAATTCATTACCAAATAAAGGTTCTAAATCTTTATGAATTCATATTCAAAATCAATAAAGTTTGACAGAATATAAGAAAATGTAAACGTAAAATTATAATGGGTGATTTTAACATATCTTTATCCTAAAGAGGTATTTAGACAAAACTATAAAGGACATAGAAAATTTGAACAACACAATTAACAAGTGATCTGATACACATTTTTTTCCCAAATTGTGGCAATCTAGTAATGGATCTGAACTTACAAACACCATTAAAAAAAAAAAAAGAACAGAATTGAAAATATCAGAATACATCCCATATGGCAAAAAATAAGCATTACTTTGTGAAAACTTTTGACCTGTATATTGAGTGATGACATAAAGTGTCCTTTCTGCTGTAAGTATCATTCAAGCTGGAACGTCTTCAATCTAATGGATCCAAAGTCTTCATCCCAAAACTGGAGCATACATATTCCTCTCAAGCACTCATGAAACAGTTACAAGGACTTTCCTGGTGGTTCAGTGGATAGGGGTCTGCCTACCGAGGCAGGGAACACGGGTTCAATCCCTGATCCGGGAAGATTCAACACGCTGCAGGGCACCTGAGCCCACCAGCCCTAGAGCTGGCGGTCCACAACAGGAGAAGCCACTGCGATGAGAAGTTTGTGCACTGCAGCAAAGAGGAGCCCCCACTCACCGCAGCTCGAGAAAGCCCAGGCACAGCAGCAAAGACCCAGTGCAACTAAAATAGACTAATTTAAAAACAGGAAGTTACAAAATCTGATCATTTATTTGGCACAAAGGAGTCTCAGCCAAACCCAGAGAATCAATATCATCTCCTGAATAGTGATGAAGGATGTCCCACAAGAGCGATCTGACAGCTAGTTGGTTCCCTGTGGCTCCATCCACCAGCCCTAGTTCCCTGTTAGGATCCAGAACTTGCCCCCCCTCTCTCTTGAAAGTGCCGATTAACTGGCCAGTTATTATTTGTGTCTAGCGTGTATTTAAGAAACTTTCTGGTAGAAAGAAATACAGTGAAAGCACTTGGGCCATCTTTACGAAGCTGAAAGTCAACTAAGGTTGACCGTTTCAACCTTTTTGAGATATTCCACCAGAGAGAGACTACTAGAAGAAATGTACCCAAAAGGGGGGGTCAAAAAATTAAGAGTTTTGCACAAGTGAAGGGGTATATGGGAGTTTGGGTGCATGGACATGATGTGAACAGCACAGGAAGTCAGCAAGTTGGCTGACCAGAAGGGACAATTCCAGAGGGTTAATCCTGCCAGCCCTCTTTAAGCATCTCATCTATCCATGGAGAAAGTGACACAGCTCTAGGAGTTCGAGGCCCAGAGGGCATGTCTCTTCCCATCCTTCTCAGCTGCCTTTAAGTTCACTGCAGGGTTTAGTGCCTTGGGGTGGGAAACCAGGATTGACCAGGCAGGAAAGGACCTGTGACATGCTAAAGGGCTAGACAACTGGGGTCAAGGCAAGTGTGTCTGTTTAAGCCATGCTCAAATTGTCAGACTGGGGGGATACAGAAGGTAAAACAGAAAAGGGGGCAGTTAGAAGTGCTGCATCCCTCAATGTGGTGACCGGAGTGTCAGCCCTCAAAATATTCATTGGAGATATGGGTAAAAGAACAGATGGAAGACAGTCACAAAGTTTAATTGAGGTTAAAATGAACTGCTTTAAAGTGTACAGTCCAGTGGCCTTTGGTACATTCACAATGTTGTGCAAACCACCTCCACCCAGTTCCAAAACTTGGTCATCGCCCAAGAGGAAACCCAAGTCAGTCTCCCTCCTGCCCAGCCCTAATCTGTTGTCTATGGATTTACCTATCTGAACGTTTCTGATAAATGTACTGGTACAACACCTGGCTTCTTTCACTTGGTATAATTTTGAGGTTCAACTCCGTAGCATGTACCAATGAGAAAGAATTACTAAGACCGAGAACTCGGAGCGGCAGGCTACTGAGAGTGGGGAGCAGGAAGGGTAAAGATAACTGCCAGCCATTAAGCCTGGGAGACTTAAAGACAGCGGCACCTTAACACAGCTAGGAAGACAAGAGCGTGGTGCAGGAGGGGGCGAAGGGGACAAGTCTGTTCCTGGACAGAGTGCGTTTGCAGAGCGAGGAAACACCCACTCTGGAGGAGTCCCCCAGACTCTGAAAGCACGGTCTGCAGAGAGATGCCGCAGCCACGGAGCTGAGGGATGCAGAGATTCCCTGTCTCACCGTCCTCCGAGGCCGGGGCACAGACACATCCACACCCAGGCCTGTGGTGGAGATGCACAAACCGCCCTGGACCTTCTCAGAATGTGGCTCGTCGTTCATTTACCAGCCCTCAGGGGTGAACGATCACCAGTATCCTCCCTCTAGAGTGAAACCCACAGCTAAGTCTGTTCTGGCTTTAGTACAAAGGAGCCATTCACGGAGACCCCGGCTCGAATGATCCGATAAACATCTCCGGCCTCACCTCTGAATCGGTGCACCCTGCTGCATCCAGAACGGCCCACCAGCCCCCGACCCTCCTCAGACTCTCAGTCTCGTGACTCCTTGAGCACTTCGGTGTCAGAATGCAGCCCCACCAGTCTGACTGCCACTCTGGAGGTAAGAGCACAGTGATTGTGTTCCAGTGGAGGGACCCCTCTGAGTAATTTTAAGCCGTAAAGAAAGGGAGGCGCTGACCCCCCACCCCTCCTCACGATCAGACTGAGCCTCCAACATCAATGGTCATTCCTCTCCCCAAAGAGCTATTTGTGACTTGATGTCAGGTCCTTCACAAATCCATTTCAGCTGGGGATAAAGAATCCCTGCCTGCTTTAAATATACATATTGACTTATGTATATAATTTATATATTTATACACAAACGCTGTTGTTTAGTCACCAAGTCATGTCTGACTCTCTTGCAACCCCTGGACTGTAGCCCACGAGGCTCCTCTGTCCACGGGATTCTCCAGGCAAGAATACTGGAGTGGGTTGCCGTTTCTTCCTCCAGCGGATTTTCCCAACCCAGGGATTGAACCTGCATCTCCTATATTGGCAGACAGATTCTTTATCACTGAGCAACTAGGGAAGTCCATACATAAAACATACATGCATATAAAACTTACAAAATATACTTCAAAGTTTTCTTTTGTACCCCTCAAGGTCAGGCTCAAACTGGAAATCTCGGGAAAAGAAACTATTACAGCCTGCCTCCTAGCAAACTCGGACCAAAGGGAAAAGAGGGAAGAAGGTAATTAGGATGCATGAGTGTAGAGGGGAGTGGTCACAGCCAGAGGAGGGTCATCAACCAGGACAGAACCTTCCAGGCTCCCCACCTCCTCCTCTGTGAAGATCTCACCTGCATCCTGCACTCACCCAGAAAGTCCCCGACAACCCTTGGGATCCAGGCCCTTGTGGGCACCCCCACAGTGACCCAGACAGACAGAACCTGGTCCAGAGAGCCCAAGTCCCACGGGGCCATTCGCGAAGGGGAACAGTGACAAGACAAAGAAATAGAATACGCAGTGTTTTCATGGAAGTGGCAACATACACAGAATTTACACAAATCCATAACATGTTGGCTCAGTAAACACCTTGAAGGCAGGGCATCTGCCTCCCCAGGGCCCAGTCCAGGGTCTGAGTGACGTGTGGGTGGAGCAGTAGATGGCTTAGCAGCTGAATCATGAAGTGAATCCAAAGGAACCATGAAGTGCTAAGTGTTGGCACGTAATATGCTGGCTTTTTAGCCATCATCTCAAACCCTCACCACCATTTGTACCTTCATCAATATGCAGGATATTTTCCAAGAGGACATTCAGCTTTAATCTTATACTGGACGTTAACAACAAAATGAGATTTGCATTACCGTCGCAAATGAAAAAAAAAAATATGTATCCATTGTCTAGACCTCTCTGCTAGAACACATTCACTCCCTAAAATGTAAAAGAAATCTATATTTAAATCATATTGGCTGCATAACAGACACAGGCAGCACACGCCCACATCTGTTGACACAGATAATGGACAAGCATAACATATTTTCCAGCTCATTGGAAGAGAAGGCTCTCGAGAAAAAAGAGACTGCCTAATTTTGTATTCTAGTAATAATACATCCCGCATGGACCCATAAAGGGAACTAACAGCCAGCTCATTGGAATGGAAATTATAAAAAAATAGCTTGAGACCAGGGTTCAACAAGCCTTTTCCGTAAAGGGTCAGAGAGCAGATATTTCAGGCTTTGCAAGCAACACAGCCTCTATCACATCATCTTTGCTTTTTCAGGTTTGTTCTGTACTTTTTTCCCAAGTCTATGAAAAATGTAAAAATCATCCTTAGTTTCCAGGCCATATAAACAGTACCTGGCCGTCCCCTGCCTTAAACCACGAGTCAGACCAGGACACTTGGAAGCCACAGAGCAACTGAGTTCACATGCCCCAACTACTGAGCCGGAGCTCTCGAGCCTGCATGCTGAAACGACTGAAATTTGCTGGCCTGGAGCCTGTGCTCAGCAATGAGAGAAGCCACTGCAATGAGAAGCCCGTGTACTTCAACTAGAGAACAGCCCCTGCTCGCCACAACTAGAGAAAGCCCACGCGCAGCAATGAAGACCCAGTGCAACGAAAATAAAAATGCATTAATTAAATTAAAAAGAAAAGCATAGGACACTTGGGAGGCCCCTGTCCGCAAGGGGCCGACCCCCATCCACCCGACTCACCTCCCTCAGTCTCTCCAGCTCGTTCTGCAGGGCCTGCTTGGATATCTCCACTTCGATCATCTGCTGTCGAAGAGTTTCATTCTCGTCTTCCGCTTTAGCTCTCTTTTCCTCCACGGTTTCAAGTTCATGGTGCAATCGGACCGACACGTCTTTGGCCACCTGCATCAACCCACAGACACAGTCATCTGATGGGAAGCCTTCTGTGTGCTAAGGGCACCTCCAAACCACTTCAGAGGCAGAATCACTAAGGAATATTGTGTTGCACCAGACAGCAAAGATCCAGGCAATATTAACAAGCCTACATTTCAAGGAAGGGATATTAGTTTAAAACATGAAATCCACATTAAGGGGAAGTATGACTTTCATCTGGATTAAAAGGCCACTTTGCCACAGCCCTGCTCCTTCTGGAATATTGCTTAGAATGCCAAATCTTCCCAGGAGCACATGCTTTAAATGGTCAATTAAAAATGATTATTGCACTTGCCTGGTGGTCCACTCGTCAAGAATTTGCCTGCCAACGCAGGGGACATAGGTTCAATCCCTGGTCTGGGAAGATTCCCTCTGCCTTGGGGCAACTAAGCCCATGCATCACAACTACTGAGCCTGTGCTCTAGAGCCTGCGAGCTGCAGGCAAGCCAACATGCCACAATTACTGAGGCCTGTGCACCAAGAAACTGTACTCTGCAACAAGAGAAGCCCACACTGCGTGCTGGATGGAAGAGTAGCCTCGGCTCTCCACAACCAGAGAAACCTACATGCAGCAGAGAAGTCCCAGCGTAGCCATAAATGAATAAATAAATAAAATGAGTAACAAATAATTTTTAAAAAGATCATCAAACATTTCTGTTTCTCAAAATAATTTTTAAAGAACCCTACTTGCTTAAAAAAATAATTCTGTATTCAGTAGATACTTAATATAGTCAGGTTTCAAATTGCCTACTCTGGTAAAACATTCGCATGTTAAAAAGGCAGTTCAACATTTTCACTGTCTAAAAGGAACTAAGGAGATTTTGTAACAGAAATATAAATCACCTTTACATCACACTGAATGACATCTTGTTATTGGTTTATAAATCTCAGTTATAAAGATTCTTTTCCTGTTATTGTAATGAAAGGCTAAATGAGATTTCATAGGGACTCCGATAATAAGAAGGACATTATACATAATTCATCTCTAGATAAATGATTTGATAACTGGGGCATGAGAGAGGCCACAGTGGAAAGGACAAATGGAAGAAAGTCTGGGGTATTTTCACCTTAGTCCCATTTCTGCCAGTGATTCTCAAAGACACTTTAAACAATTAGTTATGACACTATTTCTCTTTCAGTTAAGTCACCACTACAAGTCTTACTTGGGTTACGGTAATTTCAGCATTTCTGCACCCTAGAAACTTAACAAAAAATGTTACGTGACTAGGGTCAACTTTTAAAAGTGGTCTTTGACTAAAACTGAACTGGTAATGAATCAATTTTTTAAAATATTCCAGATCTTCAGGAGTTTCTGCATAATTTCTAAAGAATGATCAGACCAGTGGGGGCAGGTATTAATTCTTTTTTTTTTAATTGAAGATCTATGATTTATTTATTCTTTTGGCAGGGGTGGTTTAAGATTCCAGTTTATGTGGGGGATTTAAATCTTGGTCTGTCAAAGCCATATGACTACACATACCCTACAAGCCATCAAATGACAAAGAATATTTAAGCTAAAATCTGTTGAAAGAGAGAAACACTTTGCAGAACATCAAGAGCATGTGTAAATAGACTTCCCTGGTAGGCCAAGGGTTAGCATCCTTGCATAGCAGGGGATATGGGTTCCATCCCTGGTCTGTAAACTAAGATCCCACATGCCCTGGCAGTAACTAGAGATTTCATGTGAGTGAATGAGTGAAAGTCACTCAGTCGTGTCCGACTCTTTGCCACCCCACGGACTATAGAGTCATTGGAATTCTCCAGGCCAGAATACTGGAGTGGGTAGCCTTTCCCTTGTCTAGGGGATCTCCCCCACTCAGGGATTGAACCCAGGTTTCCTGCACTGCAGGCAGATTCTTTATCAGCTGAGCCACAAGGGAAGCCCAAGAGATTATGAAGATTATCTCGCATGAGATTATGAAGATCTCATGTGCCACAACTAAGGCTCATCACAGCCAAATAAATAAATTAAAAAAAAAAAAAAAGACCACGTGTAAGTGGGTCCTGAGGGCTGCACTTCAGCTCTTACAGCATTCTCAACATTTATCCCGCTCCCAATCTTTCCTACGGAATCATCATCATAAATGATGCCATCTCTGCATCTCTGTAATCAAACTTTGACCTAAAGTTTGACCTAAACTGGATCTCTAAGACACCTTCGAGGCAAACCTGTAAAACTGTACGGAAACTAACCCCCCCACCCCCACCCCGGCTTCTCTGGGTAAGTCATATCCCGCCCACTGTCTGCCTTGTGCTCACCTTCAGGTCCTGCTCCAGACTCCTGATAAGCTCCCCGTCCACCTGCCCGGTCTCTGCCACCTTCAGCCTCTTCTGCTCGGCCTTCCGGAGGCGGTATTGCAGGATTCGGCAGTTCTTGTTGGCGCGGTCCAGCTCCCGCCGCAGCTCCTGCAGCTGGTAAACCTCCTCCTCCAAGTAACTGTCTCTCATCTCTTCCATTTCCGCCCGGAGTTCATCCAACTCATCCTACATAAGCCAGACAGAGGGCACTGAGAAGCCAGGTCTATGGGACAGGACGAAGTTGCCTGTCCACCCCTGCCCTGAAGTACTGTGAACTTTCTGCAGTCACCTGTCAACTTTCGGAAACACGTGTGCGATACAGCCTGGGGACTCTGGAAATTCTCATACAAGACAGCATCACCAGATGTCTGTTCAGGTCTCATGGATCCAAAAACCAAAAACGAGCATGGCTTAGTCATCGCAGCCTCTCAGCCTTTACCCCACTCCCAATCTTTCCTTACAGAATCCTCATCATAAATGATGCCATCTCTGCAGGTAATCAAACCCTAGATTCAAACCAAACGCTGACCTAAACTTGTGTCTCTAAGACACAAGCTAGGCAGCAAGATGAGTCAGACACTGCCTGCAGAGAACAAACTTCAGGGGGCTCATCCCTATGAATTGCCCGGGAATTATAACACACCCGCAAATGTCCTTAAAATGCTGTCCCGCCACACCAATCTTGGAACTACGTGACTCATGATTCTAAAGATAAAACCTTGTGTGCTATTTCAAATACACATCGGTTTGGTTTTTTCCATTCCCCTGCTCTTCATCTCCCATCTCCACTCCACTCTGGGATCAACATGAAGACACTGGGATACAGAAGAAACCGGGGAGTTACTCCTGGCTCCCTTCCTTCCCAGCCAACGCAGTGCTGTCAGTTCAATATCCAACCTTGGGGGCTGTCTCCCCAGGGCTCCACCCACCACACTCATCCCGCCTCCACCTTCTTTAGGGAGCCACAGCTGCCCCCTCCCTCAGCACCAGCCTGTCCTCTCCCAGGGTCCAGGCACAGGAGGCAGGTGACCTGTGATGGTTTCTCCTTAAAGAGCTTCTCCCCAGTTCGTGGCCAAGCTCACGGTAGGTAGATGGGTCAGAAGGCACACAATGCCCCCTACCCGCACCGGCTCTAGCCCCAGGCCCTGCCCCTCCAATCTGCTCTGACCTAAACTTGTGTCTCTAAGACACAAGCTAGGCAGCAAGATGAGTCAGACACTGCCTGCAGAGAACAAACTTCAGGGGGCTCATCCCTATGAATTGCCCGGGAATTATAACACACCCGCAAATGTCCTTAAAATGCTGTCCCGCCACACCAATCTTGGAACTACGTGACTCATGATTCTAAAGATAAAACCTTGTGTGCTATTTCAAATACACATCGGTTTGGTTTTTTCCATTCCCCTGCTCTTCATCTCCCATCTCCACTCCACTCTGGGATCAACATGAAGACACTGGGATACAGAAGAAACCGGGGAGTTACTCCTGGCTCCCTTCCTTCCCAGCCAACGCAGTGCTGTCAGTTCAATATCCAACCTTGGGGGCTGTCTCCCCAGGGCTCCACCCACCACGCTCATCCCGCCTCCACCTTCTTTAGGGAGCCACAGCTGCCCCCTCCCTCAGCACCAGCCTGTCCTCTCCCAGGGTCCAGGCACAGGAGGCAGGTGACCTGTGATGGTTTCTCCTTAAAGAGCTTCTCCCCAGTTCGTGGCCAAGCTCACGGTAGGTAGATGGGTCAGAAGGCACACAATGCCCCCTACCCGCACCGGCTCTAGCCCCAGGCCCTGCCCCTCCAATCTGCACTGTGCTGAGTCACTTCAGTCATGTCCGACTCTGCAACCCTATGGAGTGAAGCCTGCCAGGCTCCTCTGTCCGTGGGATTTCTCCCAGCCAAGAATACTGGGGTGGGTTGCCTTTTCCTTCTCCAAGGGATCTTCCTGACTCAGGGATCGAACCCGCCTCTCTATCTCCTGCATGGCAGGCAAGTTCATTACCACGAACTTTAAAGCCCCTCCGAGCTTCTACCACCATCTAATATTATGTTTCTTCCTACTGTTTATCCGTCACCCACACGGGAAGGTAAGCACCAGGAAAGCAGACACCTGGAGTCTCCCAGCGTGAGCCACAGAGCAGGCCCTCAGTACATGTCTGTGGAATGAATACACTTGAACCTTGGTCACCACCTAGAAAGACCAGCTCCTAAACACGATGCAAACTGGACATCAGCTCACATTGCTTTGTTCCAGTCTTGCAGCCTGATCATGGACAACTCTTCCCAAACTCACAGACACGGCAGTAGCATGAAGGGTATATTTTCTATAACAAAGGCTTCAGCGAGGAACAACTTACAAGGTGGGAGGTTAAGAAAAGCATACTGGAATTGTCTTGATTAGTTTCATACCTGATGGCGTAAATGCCTCCACACTAGGATACTCTTGGTCATCTTTTCTTTTCTTTTTTGGCTATGTCACGTGGCTTGTTTGATCTTAGGCCCCAGCCAGGGATAGAACCCAGGCCCTCGGCAGTGAAAGCGGAGTTCTAACCATTGGACCACCAGGGAAGCCCTCATTCCCATTTATTTTGTTCAACTAACACTGAGGCTCAAAGGAAAAAAACACTCCCAAACACGGACACCCTAACTTATCAGCTCTCATTCTATTCAGTTTGTTCCTGGAGCCTGGCCACCCTCCTGCATTTATTCTTAAAAACCAGGGATTTACTTACAATAAAGAAAAGAGTTTCCCAACATCAGAGCCTCAGGTAGACAAGAAATTGACTAGTAGTAAACCTCCTGCAGATTATTTTATCCTTTATAAGATCACATAGGAGATGTGTACCAAATGAACTGGGAACCCTTGTGGAAAAATAACAAATTGGCAGGAACAGGGTGAAAACTACGGTCCAGCCAACCCCACCCGAGTGCAGCCCGCACCTGTAGGGGAAAGGCACATGTGAGGCATCTGATTCTCCCAAAGGCCGCCTGCAGGTTCTCCCACTCTGTCCACACCACCTGACCAAGAACACGACCCACTCAGCTGAGCGTGGCTCCAAGTGGGGCCCCTTTCAATGGCCCATCACGGGGAGCAGGTGTTAAAAACGAAAGCTTTACCAACTTCCTAGTAGTCAAAGGAATAAAATGTTTTTGTCTGCTAAAGATTCTTACAGAATTTCTGCACCAGTGGCGACAATCTCATCAAAAATAAAAGATGTTTGGGAATTCCCTGATGGTCCAGTGGTTAAGACTCTGTGTTTCCAATGCAGAGGGCATGGATTCGATTCCTGGTTAGAGAACTAAGATCCCATGCAGTGGGGAAAAAAAAAAAAAAAAATTATATATATAAAAAATAAGATGTTCTTATGTGTCTTAAGAAAGGTGAATCTTAGGGAATTGCCTCCAGTAGTTAAGACTTTGCCTTCCAATGCAGGTGGTGTGGGTTTGATCCCTAGTCGAGGAGAAAGAGCTAAGATCCCATGTGCTTCGAGGCCAAACAAACAAAACGTAAAGCAGATGCAATATTATAACACATAGAGACTTTAAAGATGATCCACATTGAAAAATCTTTTAAAAAAGGTAAATCTTAATGTTGAAAATGTTATGACACATAAGCAAGTTTCATTGCCTTTTTTTTTTCTTCATGGAGGACCCCTCCTATAAATCTTGTCCCAGTAGGAAAGTTTGCTGGAATTGGGGTTTACTGGGTGGAACATAGAGGCCAGACAGTGGACAGAATGGACAGGCTGGGCTCTTCAGAGGCCTGGAGAACACACCAACTTCAGGAAGGGCCTTTCAACCCACAGCAAAGAGGTTGTTTCTGACGCCGAATCCCCACTGAGCCATGAGAGCCTTGCCCTTAACCCAACCCACGCCGGAAGGGACCAGCCACCACAGCCTACAAGCTTTCCAACAGGCCTATGCATGTCCTCCTCCCATAAAGAGTAGAGTTAGTCCTGAATCTTCAAAATCAAGGTCAAGCTTCTCAGGTCCCTTCTGCAAATCTGATTTGACTTTGAGAAAAAGCTTAATCTATGTAGAGGTGTCTGAATACAGTTAGTTAATTATTACACTGGGTAACTAATAAAAATAGTTCAACAAAAGCAATAATCACTATACATATCCAGGGATACCCACAAATATCCAGTGGTGTTGGGCATTCTGTTTATGAAGAAACTGTGCAACTGCTTTTCCTTCCACTGAAAGTGTTAGTCTCTTAGTTGTGTCCGACTGTGTGTGACCCCATGGATGGTAGCCCACCAGGTTTCTCAGTTCATGGGATTCTCTGTGCAAGAATACTGGAGTGGGTAGCCATTCCCTTCTCCAAGGGATCCTGCCAGCCCAGGGGTCAAACCCGGGTCTCCTGCATTATAGGCAGATTCTTTACCATTTGAGCCACCAGGGCAGCCCTTTCCTTCTAGAAAGCTTGTCGAGTCATTAACGCTGAAAATTACCTATTACTCAAACATGAATTTTAAAATGTGACAGTCATAAAAAAACATACGGTAGGACTTCCAGATAAAAAAATGTTCTCTGGTTTTTCAGATTTTGTAATGGGGGGCTCTTCATCAACCGTACCATTAAATGCTAGTTATGTTCTACAGACACCTGCACCCCCACTGTGGACTGAAAAAGCCTGTCCCAGGGCTAGATGTACCCACACCTCCAGATCACCCAGCAGGCCAGATGTAAACAGCTAATAGTTCTTGGCATAAATAACCACTAACATTAGTCGCTTTGTAAAGAAAATTAGGAAGAGATTGCAATTGCATGTATTTGAATCACTGCTTTTACAACTCATATTTTATCTAAATTTGTGGACCAGCAGACACCCTTTCTCAAGCACTTTGCCTTCGTTACTAAGCCTACAATAAGCCTGCAGGGACACACGGCCCTCACAAGATGGACAAACAGGCCAAACCCACACTGGTGAACACACCCAAAGTCTCTCGGCTGATAACTGGAAGCCCAGCTACTAACCCAGGCTCTCTGGCTCCACACACATAACTCTTTCCAGTAAATGGGAGAAATTATCAGCAACCACCAGGACACGTGAAACAAGAAGCTTTAAATCACACTTGCAAAAAGCCTGTCAGCGCAAAATAATAACAGCAAGCTAACGTTTACAACTTGACATTGTCAACGTGCAGGTATATTCATTTTCGCAACTGGTCCTCACCAAAGCACTGCAGTAGGCAGAAAAGGTATTAATACCCTCCATTTTTAAAATGAGCATACCGAAACCCTAAAAGTTTAAATGGCTTGTCTGTTGCAACACTTGTCTGTTGCAGAGACAGGACGAGGCCAGGGTTTCAACGCTTTTCAAAGAGCCTTGAAAAAAGCAATTTTCAGGTTCAATGAAAAGAAGTTATAAGAAAGGCAAATTACAAACCATGTAGGCAGGAATCAGACATTTGAAAAGCAAAAACTGTGATTATTCAGATTAGGGTCATGATGGGAGAGCGATTTTTCAAACGAACATCACATTAATTTCTGACAGCATGTTCTAATCTAGAAAACATTATATCAAAGAACTTTAAAGATGTCTGCCATTTAAATGCTTAACAAACCCAATCAAGCAGAACATATAATGTTTCTGGTAGACTAAATTTACACACGGTAAGCAAGAGCAGAAACTGTTGGTTTTTAATACAGATAATAAGGAGAAAATTTCCCTTAATCAAGTTTTATATTGAATTAACAACAGGTCTGTCAGATGCTCAAATGTTAGATCATTCTCATTAAAAAGCTAATTTAGCTTTAACTAAATATACTTTTCAAATTCTGTATAGCATGAAACCTTGAAGTACTAGCGAGCTCCCCAACTATTTCTCTTCACCTGCAGATAACAAATCAAGCTTTATTTTATACTCATGAGTGTGTATATGTGTGCTTAGGAGCATCCAACTCTCTGTGGCCCCATGGACTGGAGCCCAACAGGCTCCTCTGCCCGTGGAATTTTCCAGGCAAAAATACTAGGTACCATTTCCTTCTTCAGGGGATCTTCCCGACCCAGGGATTAAACCCGACTCTTGCATCTCCCTGCACTGGCAGGCAGATTCTTTTACTACTAGTGCTGTCTGGGAAGTCCTGTGTGTGTGTGTCATATATATATACATATATATATATATATAAAATCAGATTTAAGAAATAATGAGGTTCCATGTGTGCACTAGAATAAACCGAGATTAAAAATGTCAAAGAAAATCTCTTTGAGGATAGTTTATCCACAAATATAAAAACCAAATCCCTGCTTTCATAGTAAAAGTGATGAAAACCCTTGATCATACTGATGATCTTATCAGACCTTAATTCCCTTTAAACAACTTAAAATCAATAACTAGTCCTACTTTAATCACTCCCTCTTTAAACAGACTCAATTTAGACAATGAGCAGTCAGCTGGCTACTGTTGCAATAATTCCCTCCTCTGGGAGTTGCAGACCCTTAACTATTGTCTACTGTAATATACAAATAATCCACCTCCTTTCCCTCCCGTCAATGGAAATGTGCTCCTCCGCAGAGTCCCAGCTGAGGCTCAGAAGGCAAAGGGGGGCTCAGCCATTGTTTACAAGTGCCAGTTCATCCCGCAGCCATGGCCCCCCTGTGCCCTGGTCCACATTATCTCGCCACCTAAGATGATTACAGCCGCTTGTTTGCAGGCTGAATAAAGAATGGGTGTGGAAAGCAGAAGGTCAGGAAAGAATAGGGACACTGTCTGCTTCAACCTTCCAGAAGGGAGGGGTGTCGGCAGGGAGGAGCTGAAGCACTTTATGCTCAGAACTGTTTATTCTTGCCTCAGTGTCCACCCCACCCCCACCCCTTCCTGGCCATTCAGAGCGCCTGGAATCTGCTCGGCTGGATTTAACCAAATCATTGCAGATCCTGAAACTCCCAAGACCCCAAGAGAGAGGCAGGATGCCGAGGCCAGGCCAGTGCTGAGGCAGTGCAACCACTCCACCGGAATGGGCTCCCCAGCAGCCCCCTTGAGAACTCACTGCTCTTCCACATTCCCGTGGTGTCTGTTCTGAGCTAGCAGGCACTTTGCTTGTTTTCACCAAAAAATAATTCTTAGGAGGTAACCGAAAGGGCAGAGCAAACTCAGCAGCCCTCCCCAGGCTGATCTTGGAGCCCCCCAGGACTGGGGCACTTTGGGGTACACTACTTGGGAGTGGGGGGAAGGGTGTCATGCTAGCATCCCCCACAACGTGAGAAGCATTTTCGAAATAGGCCAATAAATGCAAAGCAATTAAACCCTCCTGAAAAGCCTGTGGAAACAGAACATAATTAATATGTTCACAATGAGCTCCAGGGCTTGTCTGATTGTCTCTGAGCACTGGAGCAAAACACAGTGATGGTGGGCAGGCAAAGACTATGATGGCCAGCATTTCTCAGACAGCCTGGTCACTAAGATGGACCTGAGTCTGGTCTGAGAAAGAAGCAAAGCCCTTTGGACAACTGACCTCAATCTCGCATCTTCACTCCTGAAGCCTTCCAAATTACATGCAAGTCCATTTGCGGTCAAGGGCCAACAGGGCTTTTCTGACTGCTTTCATGCAAAAAGCCAACTACCCGGACTGAGTACTTACTCATCATCTAGTCACCCTGCTTCCCTGGTGGCTCAGTGGTAAAAAAATCTGCCTGCCAATGCAGGAGATGCTGGTTCGATCCCTGGGTTGGGAAGATACCCTGGAGGAGGAAATGGCAACCCACTCCAATATTCTTGCCTGGAAAACTCCATGGACAGAGAAGCCTGGCGGGTTGTAGTCCACGGGCTTGCAAAGCATCAGAGACGACTTAAGTGACTAAACAACAACAATATCTAGTCACCCTGGTGCCTTGTGATGACAGTATGACTCAAGGATGGCCCCATTCAGCTCCACACAACAGAAGGCGGCGCTTCTCTGTTGACAGCTGATTTTTGGAAAACTATAGCAATCTGGCTGAAAAACAAAATTCCACTCGAATTTCCCAATCAGTAACACATCATCCTTAGTTTTCTGATGATTACTCTCGGTTCATTCTTCTCAGTAACTTGCTGCTGCTGCTAAGTCGCTTCAGTCGTGTCCGACTCTGTGCGACCCCATAGACGGCAGCCCACCAGGCTCCCCCGTCCCTGGGATTCTCCAGTATGACCTTTCTCCGCAGGAAATGGCAACTGACATTTCCCACAAATTAAACACTGCCAGTGGGGTCTGTGGGACCCCAAACAGTCCAGTGGAGAGGCGCTCACTGTGGCCCTTTCACCTAAAAAGAGAGGTTCCCCAGAAAAGCTAAATACTGGGTATGGCCCAAGCTAATAAGACAATTCTAAGGCAGGCATGGCTCTTCTCAGTCTTGATGGAAACAAGGATGCAGCCTGGAGACTGGAGAGAACAGAGGTCTGGAGGCCGGGAAAATACCAGCTGCATCACTTACTAGCTGGGTGACCTTGGACAAGTAGGTACGTATGTCTTCTTGGATCTCAGCAACCTTGTCAGTGAAATTAGGGTTGTGATAAATACAACAAAGATACCCCGTGTTGTGAGATTGGCTGAAATACCAAACACACCAGAGCAGACTCCAGGGTCAAACACCTACTTCCTTCACTGAGAATCCAATGATGTGGGGGAAAAAAAAAAAAGCAAATTACCAGCCGCCTCAGAGTGAGCCCTGAAATGATAGCGAACTGCCTGCCTTAAGATCAGATGTCATGAGAAACATCTTTTGGACCGAGGCTACAAAACTCAAAGATGGTCTTTCTCACCCTCAGGGAGCTTACCTACAGGGCAGATTTACAAAAGCCCTGGTTTCAGAACAGAGTAACGCTAATACCTGGCCCTTTCTCTTCCATACTCTCGCCTTTCACTCTGTTGTCTATTACATAAGAGTCGGTGACCAGAGCAAATGTACTACTGGAAACATTTCATTTGGATCCCCATCTGCTCTCTTTTCCCACCACGATCCTCTTCTGCCTCTTTGAACAGGATAAAACCACCATGGGGGCTCCATGGGTTAGAGCAGCCTCTGTGGCTTGGGTGTAGGAACACTCCTCATCCACTGCTCTGACCCCAGCTTAACTACACAGATCACCTCCACGCACCTTAAAAGCCCACATCCTTGTCCCACCAGTCACCCGGGGGACTCTCTGCAAAGGAAAGTCAGCCTTTGCAGAGAAAATGGGGAGAATCACAAAATGCACTGACAGAGGAGAGCCACTGCATTTGGGAGGAAATATATATTTAACCATCTTAACAGGAGGAGATTTACATGGTGGAGCTGTTGACTAACCTGAGCATCACAATAAATTAAGGCGGATGCATTCACTACCACCCTCCTTGCTTTGGAGTCACCCGGCGTGCCCTGACCTCCCCACCTCACACGGTCTAAATCCTCTTTTCTGCAGGCCTGCTCTCCTCCTCCTCCTGGAAAACATGGAGTCAGACTTGTGCCCCAAAGCTACCAAGACCCAGAAGCCACCCAGAGGAGGCCGCGCCGCAAAGCGCTCGATGGACGCAGAGGCTGCGAATCCCTCAAAAGAGCGGGCACGAGTGGCCTCTCCTGACACCGAAAAACCGGCTGGTGGACGCGTACGAAGGCCCAGCCAGCAAGACAGCATGGTCTCTCCACCCAGGCCGCGCTCAAGGGACTCCTGAGCCGTAGGTTTATCACTGAAAGCGGCTTGACCCGGCTGTCTGCACCCGGGGGAGACTCGGAGAGCACCCGGCCTTCTTAACTGCAGGAGAAGGGGAAGAAAAGGCTGCACCCTCCGTGACCCGCACTCGGCCCACGGGCTCCCGCTGAGATTCTCGGCTGGGGACAATCCGCGCCCACAGGTGAGGGGGCAGGGGGTCGACTGCTCCAAAAAGCAGTCACAGCCACCTCTCTAGTTAACGGAGCATCAACTGGGGCAGAGGCATCCGCGCCACGCGAGACTTTCTAGAAACAAGCTAAGTGAGTGGAGAAGCGGCTGGACCCACAGGTCTCGCTGCTCCTTCCGTAAGTTTGGCTCAAGTTCCCAGCGCCCGGCGTGTCGGGCGCAGGAAAGTGACTGGCACCGGGAGGAAGCGCTTTCGTGGCCGGGACGCCGGGGCTCCGCCCGCACCCAGACCTGGGACCGCCGCCGGGACACCTGCGGCGGGGCAGGCTGCGCACCTTGAGATAGTCGTTCTCCGAGCGCAGCTCCTCCATTTCCCGCAGCAGCTCCTCCTCCTCCGCCGCCGGGACCAGCCGGTGCCGCTCGCCCGGCCCGTGCTCCCTGGGGGTCCCGGGGCCCATTCGCTCCGGCGGTGCTCGCCCCGCGACATCCTCCACCACGCCGGGTCCCGGGGACGCCAAGGGGACCCCGCTGGGGCTGCTCCGACCCCCAAGGCAGGCGGCGGGGGTCGCGGCGAGGAGTCCCGGGGGCTCGGGGCTGCCCGGCGGCGCCCCCCGAGCTGGTGGGCTGGTCGTGGGGGCTCCTCGCAGAGGTTCCCGGTCGCTGGAGCCCGTGCCGGACTCGGCGTCGCTACTGGCGGCGGGGAGCAGGCGCTGCTCGTCGGAAAGAGGGTCTGAGGGGCAGTCGGAGAGATCGGAGCTGCTGTCTGTGTGGCTGATGCGCGAGCCGGGGGCCGAGGAGCCGGCCGCGGAAGTCACGGCGAGGATCACGGCAGGCACCGCGACGGCGGGGACCCGGGGCCCGGGGGCGCGGGCGGGGACCGCTCCGGAGACGCGTTTGGCTCTGCGGCCCTTGGAAGCGGCGGGCGGTGGCTCGGCCCCGGGCGGCGGTTTCCCTACCCGGGGCAGCGGCTCGGCGGGCGCCGCGCGTGCCACCCTCCTGGGGCCCGGAGCGGCCTTAGCGCCGCCCGCTGCCCTGGCCCCGGCGCCCGGCGGCGGCTTGTCCTTCGCGNCCCGCGTCCCGCCAGCCGGCGCGGCGGTGGGGGCGGGGCTGCGCTCCCGGGCGGCCCGAGGTCTGCGGGCCCCCAACCTCTCCCCTCTCCGCCTGGGACCCTCGTGCTTGTGGGGGCTCATGAGACAGTGCGGGAGCTGGGGGAGGGAGGAAGGGGGCAGGCGTAAAGGCGAGGTGGGGTGGGAGGAGGCTGGAGGCGGGGGACGCAGCCGGTGTGCCCTCTGAGTGGTGCGCCTCGGAGTGCCGGCGTGGAACAATGCCCCCCCCCCCAGGCCCCTGCATCCAGCCCGGTCTCCCAGGGCCGCCGAGTTCCGCCCCGCCAGAGCTGGGCCGAAGTCCACTCTCCAGCTGGGCCGGAGTCCACACTGGTTTGAGGACTTGTGTGACCACCAGCCCCGCAGCGCCCTATCGCGTCCGAAGGCGCACGGGGCTCCACAGTTGGCACCCAGTGGCCTCTGGAGCTCCAGGAAAGAGCCGCTGTCCGATACAGCTCGCCGAGCTCCGGGTCAGTAAGGGAACTCACATGTAGTGTCGGCTGCGAGCCAGGCCCTAGTAGACGCCCCACAGGCATTGTTTCATTTCACCCTCGGAACAAGCCAGACTCCGAACTCCTTCTGTCTTGTTGAAAGACGAGGCGTGGGCGCGGGAGGTGAAGTCAGTGCAGTGGCCCGTGCATGCTGGCCCGGACTCTCACCAGCGCTTGTACAGTCCTCCGTCCTACACGCCCAGCCCTCGGAGAAGGAGGCTGGTAGACCACTGGAGAGTCTTAACGTGGGCCACTGACCTTTTCAAACCTCTGTTCCCGCCCCTGTACAATTAGAAAGTACCTCCACCGGAGTGTGGGGTCTGATCAAGGATGAGAAAGCCCTGTGTCAACTGTAAAGTGCTTTTCAATATCAGTGAGTGCAGATTTGTCCCAGGTGTTGGATTCTAACAGAGAAAAACCTTGCTGTTCTGTTACAAGTTAATCACTAAAGGCATGCTGCTATAAGCTTAAGTTATAATGGCTTGCCCATCTCTGGGAACCCCACCTGCCAGGGAATGAGTTTCAGGCTCCAACACCTTTGTTAATCTCCCAGAAGATTCCCTGACCAGGCCCCACCTGTGAATGGCTGCTGGAAGGAAGAAATTAACAGACCTCCTCCAGAGTTGGGCCAGAAACCAGTCTCTGTTCCCTCCCCTTTTTAGTATAAAAGAATCCTGAATCCTAACTTGGGGGAGATGGCTCTTCCGGACAGTAGGCCATCATCTTCTGGGGCTGCTAGCTTTTCACTATTCCTTGTGCCAACATCTCATCTCTGGACTTACTGGCTTGTCAGGCGGTGAGCAGAGCGAGCTGGGACTCAGTAACAGGATGGTGGGTGGGTAAATATCCAGGGAATAAGGGTCAGTCTGCCAGTCTAGCTGGAGGCAAAGGCAGGCAGTGCTTACAAGTTGCTGGGGTGGCCAGGGACCCTGAGTCTGGGTGAGTGCCCAGGATGTGTAGGTGAGTGCCCAGGATGTGTGCAGGGCAGAGGTTGTAGGTAAGACGACCGTTAGGGTGGATGGGACCAACTGTCCCAAGGGGAATTTGGATGTTATTCTCAAGTCGGGGAGCTGCTGGAAGATGCTGAAAGTGAAAGAAAGAGAAAGTGTTGATTGCTCAGTCGTGTCTGACTCTTGTGACTCCATGGACCTAGCCCTCCATGCTCCCCTGTCCATGGAATTATCCAGGCAAGAATACTGGAGAGGGCAGCCATTCCCTTCTCCAGGGGATCTTCCTGACCCAGGGATCAAACCTGGGTCTCCTGCGTTGTATACAGATTCTTCACCATTTTAGCCACTGGGGGAATCTCTGCTTAGAAGGATCCCAGCAGCCAGGAGAGGGAGGCGGGTGACAGGGAATAGTTAGTGGCTGGGGCCCAAAGCATAGATGAGGGCAGTGGTAGTAGGAATAGAGAAAAAAGGGGACAGAACTGTGATGAGAAAGGAAAAACAGAACCAGTAAGGGAAAAGAATCTGAAAAAGAATGTCTAACTGAATTCCCGTGATGTACACCTGAAACTAACATGACATTGTACATCAACTATGCTCCAATAATATATATACATTAAAAACAAAACGCAAAAAAAAAAGGAAAACTAGACTCTAAAGTGTGATCTTAACCTTAAATCACCCTACTTAGCCACCTCCTTCAAAAAATGCAGGATAAAGTCATCATTGATGCAATAGCTATGAAGACCACAGCCATCTATCATGGGGTGTTTGCATAAAAAGGAAACAGGTGGTGACAACACTGCAGAAAGACTGACGGCGCCCTGCCCCCACGCCGGTCCCGCCAGCAGTCCCTAGAGGGCGCTGGAACGCTCCCGGCTGCAGGTGGTTTGGTCATCACAAAGTGGCTGCTGGCTGTCAGACCTCCCGGAGCTCAGCCGCCTTGAACTCGGGGACCTTCTCCTCCACCTTCTTGCAGACACCCAGACGTCTACGACACCCTCATTTTTCTCGAGAGTTATATCCAGGACTCAGCGCAAGCTCCTCACACCACATCTAATCTTGCTAAGGGCCAGCTCAAAATGTTGCAGTCAGCTAGTTTTCCAAAAATATCAGCAAGCTTTGTCGCCTGCTTCCTTTCCCTCAGGTAATAAGTCAAACAAGCTTCGTCCTCTGAACGACGAGCCTGGCGACTGTTTCCACTGGACACTGGCGAGGAGGAATGCCTTCTCTGTTCCCAGCAGGCAGTGCGTTACAGGTGTACCAGGGACACCTGCTTGCATCAAGAATATTTTTAAAGTCACAGGTGATTTTGAAATAATGTTTTGTTCTTGTTAATCAAGTTAGTCTAAAGGCATTAGGGGTTTGCTATTTAAAGGGGCCTTTAAAGCACTTTGTTCTGGAATGAATGCTCATTCAGTTGTGTCTGCCTCTTTTTGACCTCACAGACTGTAGCCCACCAGGCTCCTCCGCCTGTGGGGTTCTCCAGGCAAGAACACTGGAGTGGCGTGCCATTTCCTCCTCCAGGGGCCCTTTCTGACCCAGGGAAGGAACCTGCATCTCCTGCATTGGCTGGCAGATTTTTTTACCACCTGAGCCAACCAATATCAGTGGAATAATCTCCAATACTTTAAAATGCAAGAAAAGCAAACTTGGAGTGAGAGAATTCTAGTCTGTTTGCAGAGTTATATAAAGTGGAATAAATTTTTTTTGGTTTGACTCATAGAGGGGAAGACATACGACTGTGGCCGACAGTCACCCGAAGAACATCTGTAGCCTCGAAACCTTGTCCACAGCACTTAACTCTTTTCTAGTTTTTCCCTCTTATTTTAACACAAAGGCACATTCAGAATATGAATTCGTCTGATCTAAGTCAGAAGAAGTTGCCTCTTTAAAAAGAGAAAAAAAGAGACCTAACAGAGGGGGCTATCTTTGGCTGTTTCAGGAATGGTGGGGTTGAAAAGGGATAATGGGAAGTCAGGGGGCCCACTTGGGGGTCCCGGTGCGTCCAAGCTGCCCCTGCAAAGTTACAGCCAAAATGCCACGTGGGGCTTGATGCGTTCCGTGGCCACAGGCCCCGGAGCTCTGACTGAGAAGGTAGAGCCTGGGATCCAAACTTTTAACAAATTCCTTTGATACAGATGACCCTCTGACCACACCTGAGAAGCCCCGAGTTAGTTTCGAACACAGCTCCACGCGTCACACACTTGTCAATTGCACTTCCTCCTGGTTCCTGTTGAAAGTCCTTCTGAAGCTGGTGGGAGATTCTGGCTGATAAGAGATGCAAAGGCTATGATTAAGGCTTAGCCAGTTAAGCTCCAGCTATCAACAATGTGCAGTGTCCATGCCTGTCCTAGAGCCAGTCTTGAGTGGCAGGCGTCCCTCTGATCTGAGAACCCAGAGCGAGGAGCTACATGCGTGGGGAAGGAGGCTCTTTGCTCCTGAGCAGTGGTTCTTCATGAGGAGGGAGTTCCCTGGTGGAGTATCTGGGAAGTTTGTTGTGGTATTTTTTGTTGTTGCAAAAATTGGATCGGGAGCACCAGTTGAATTTCTGAGGGGAGTCAGGATGCTGTGTGTTTTGCAATATTCCCAGAGAACTGCCCCCTCCCCCAACCATTACTGCACAACTTCCCAAAGTCCTCCTGAAACATTCACAAAGGTTAAAAAATCTGCTTACCATCATCTGAGCCGAGGGCCTAACTACTTGTCTTAGTCCAGGCGGGCTGCTGTGACAGAATTTCACAGACTAGGGGCTTGTAAGTAACAGACATTTACTTCTCACCTTTTGCATGTTGCAAGTCTGAGCTCAAGATGCCAGCAAGGTCAAGTTCTGGGGAGAGCCCATCATCTTTTCGAGCCCTCACCTGGAGAAGGGGCAAGGGGTCTCTCTGGGGCCTCGTCTATAAGGACCCTAATCCCTACCCTGCAGCCT